ATTTGAGCTAAATAAAATTCCCCATAATAGACTTTTGGCTACACTACTTTACTTCCAAGCTTTGTGCACCAATCTCCAATAATCAGCTTGACATCCTGTGTTGGTGTATTGTCAATTTTTTCCTGTACTCCTTTATAAAATCTATCCATTTCTTCTTGTTCTGCCTCATTTGGTTGACACATATACTTAAATTATGGTCATATTCATAGGTTTCCTGTGGGGCCTTATTGAGATGATTCAGTTTGATTTTGCATTGTATCCTCTGACTACTTTTGCAACTTCTTCTCTTAGGATGAAAACCACCCCGTTTCTTCTTGTCTTTTCATTCCCTGAGTAGAACACTGCATGGTTATCTGAATCAAAATGGCCCATTCCTGTCCCTTTTGACTCACTCACCCCCAGTACTGCTATGTTCATGCATTGCATTTCTATTTTCACTATGTCTAGCTTCCTTGGATCATGCTTCTCACATTCCATGTCCCTATTTTATGTGTGGTGCTGCTTCTGATGGGGTTTGTCTTTCTGAAAGTATTTACTGCTTGCTTTGTCATTTTGGCTGCCCTTAGCTGCTCTTGCAAGTGTGTTTTCCTTTAGTTTCTATCTATCTCTCTGTTAGTGCTCTTGTCCTGCCTGTGTGCCACTTTCAATGTCTCTTCATAGGGTTTTCTAGGTGGGGGGTTACACAATGAGGACCACCCACACCTCCCTGTGTGCAGTGCTAACAAGTGTTAGCTATGATGCCACTGCTGTTCTTCACTTTAGTGACACCTACCACTACTGCTGCTGCCCAGTAGTTGTTCCCTATGTCACGTTATTAGCAGTCATGTAGTGTCAGTATCCCCTCCCCTCCCTTCTCCTGCCATTTCTTCTACTTATTCATTTTAAAAAACTAAATCAAATTGTAATAGTAGAGCTTTGGCATTACAGGAAAATAAACAAAAATAAAAATCGTGGAGGTCATGATGGATAAGGCATAAGGCAGAGATTAATGATTAAGGGGAATCATGAAGCAAACATGATGGTAGCAGTCACACAACTGAGATGATGTGTGGTGCTGTGGGACTACAAACAGGTGTAATTCCATTTACACTGACAAGTGTGATTGTGGTGAGAACAGGGCTTGTGCAGTAAAGCTCTAGCTAGAGCTGCAGGTACATGCAGTGGTGGCTTTCATGGCAATGGGGAGGTGAATCCACTGCTGGGGGGTGGTGACAGAGTTCAACATCTTGGACAGTTCCTTTAAAGTTTGCACTAAAACCTCTACAGCTGTTGTTACTGTGTGCCTTTAAGTTGTTTCTGACTTATGACAACACTAAGGTGAACCTATCATGAGGTTTTCTGAGGCTGAGAGTATGTGACTTGCCCAAGGTCACAAGTGGGTTTCCATAGCAGAGTAGGAATTTGATAAACCAATGATGCTGGTAAGAAAATAATGGGACACTAGAAATAGAGATTTGCAGGGGCTCTCAAGATATGTTTATGGGACTACTACAAACCAGTACCGTATGTACTTTTTGGTGTCTTGCTCACAATAGTACTCTTGTAGGGAAGAAGAAAAAGAAAAAGGCAATGGAATCAGAACACATACCATTCTAGAGACGAATACTTGAAACAGCCAGAAAGCACATAAAACAGGATTAGGAATCATACAGCCTTCCAGATATTGTTGGACTATAACTCTCACCGTGCCTCACTTTTGTCTATGCTGGCTAGGGTTGCTAGGAGATGCAATCCCATAATGCCTGGAGGGCCCCATGATTCCCACCCTGATAAAGAACAAGCACACATAACCCATAAGTATATATCTCTTTAACAATTTGGGATTAGATCAGTGCTTATCAGGCTATCTGAGGTGTGTATATGCATGTGCCTTCAGGTCACCTGCCAACTTATGCTGACCCCATGAATTTCATAGGGTTTTCTTAGGCAAGGAATACTCAAGTGATGTTTCTGCCAGCTCCTTCCTCTGAAATATAGTCTTCCATTCAGGTATGCACTTAACCAGGGCTGACCCTGCTTAGCTTCCAAGATGGGATCTGGTGCCTTCAGGTTATTTAGATCCTTGCTTCTGTCTGATGTGAGGAACTGCAATTACTGTTTTACTAAATTTGTGCTTGTGGGTACAATTGTTTCTTTCTTTCCTGGAAATTTGCCAGGGGCAGGCAGCCAATGACTTGGGGACCACCACTGGCCCAGGGGCCACCAGTTTGAGTAGCATGCAACTAGAGGGCATTATTGTCCAGTACTGAAGTAAGGAACACCACCATTATGGGTAGTTAATGGGGGGGGGGGGGAAGAGAGGAAACCTGCAATATTACATTGGCCTAGGGCTGGTAGCTAAATAAAAAGGTGTGCCAGACAGCACCCACACAAATAAGAGATGCTTTTGTTTCTGAGTGAAAATGAGTGGCAGGCATTCTTTTTTCTTTTTTAAAAAAAGAAGGTTGTTCTGAAGAGGCAGCAAATGAGGCAAAGAAGCAATATATCTTTTAAAGTGGCAAGAAAAAGTTGTAAAAGAAAGAGAGAGCTACAAAAGAAATATTGAAGAGGACAGTGTTATTTATTTATTTAAGCTATATCTATGATGGTTCTGAAATTGGGAATAATGGCCAAGATTCCACGTCTGTGCAGTTCTGCTGGATTACTGCTTCTACCCCATGTGTAAGGCATGTTTCTAGTGGTGGATCACAACCCCAAAGCCATTTAGTGGCTGGGAGAGAGTACAAAGTGACTGGGAAGCATTTGGCTGCCCCTCTGGTGTGGGAGGAAACAATAAATACATTGGAGATCAAGGAGAGTGACAGCTGCTCTTCTCTCTTGTTGAGGTGGACACTACCCTTTGAAGTAGGCTTGCCTGGGGCTGAGCAGGCATTTGTCTTATGCCTACGGGCATTACATGTCCAGGACAGTTTTATCTCTCAGAGAAGCACCTACAGGGAAAGCAGTCCAGTCCACATCATGTACCCATAATCCCAGAAGATGAAGGAGAGCTCAGGGCAAGGGCAAATAGTTCAGATAGTCAAAGCCAAAAAGGGATGTGATAAGGAGTCATTCAATGTAGTCAGTCCGCAGATCAAGATTTCCCAGAAACCCACAAACACCAAGAGCACAGGCAGTTGAAAAAATTGAACAGTTGAGAGCAATGAAGACAGCCAGCAGCTGCTGGGAAATTTATAGGTGGCTACCTCTGGGCACCAGCTGCTTCAGTCAGTGTCTCCTATTTAGCAGACAATGGGCCTTATCACACGGGGTCTAAAGCAGTCCCATCCCTGCGCC